AAAAAAAAAAAGAATACTGCCTTGACCTTTTCTTGAGACAATTTGAATAACCTAGAGCACAGATTGGGTGGGCAAGGGGTGGACAGGCCTTGGAGTCATCAGGGAAGGCTTCTCGGAGGAGGTGACATTTATGTACAGACCTGAAGGGGGAGAGAACATCCAGGCAGATGGAGGGGTGAGTGCAAAGGCCCTGAGGTGGGCATGTTGGGCGCTGTCTGGAGTAGAGGGAGCCAGGGGAGGGTAGTGGGAGATGTGGCTGGATAGAGGGACACGGGGTGGGGGACCCTGCTGTACTTTCATCCATGTTTGTTTGGAGGGGGATGGGAACCAAGACAAAGTTGGAGCAGAGGGCCCAGGGTGGGGGTGGGGGTGGGGGCGGAGCTGGCTCTGGGCAAAGCAAGATGGAGATGGTTTGGGGTAGGCCTGTCCCTGTCCTGTGGCCTGGCTGCGAGAGGAGAGGCAGGAGAGAGGCTGCCAAAGGAGATGGGAACGGGGCAGCCAGGGCTGGGAGACGCCTGTGGCCCAGAGGAGGGAGCAGGACCCTGGTTTTCAAGCCCATGGTCCCCTAGCTGCTGGGGTATCTGAGCTCTGTACCTCGGGTCCTCAGCTGTAGCTGGGGGTCAGTAACCCTCGTACTAGTTAAGAGCCACAGAAGACAGCAGGGAAGGCTTCCTGGAAGAGGGGACACTTGGACTGAGCCTTCAAGCCCCAATGGAGTTCTGCCTGATGGGGGAGGGGAAGAGCTCCGAGAGAGGAGGAACTGAGCAAATGTGGGGGTGGGGGGGCGGGTAGAGCAGGACACACACAATAATGGGTTGAATGGAGCCAAGCCGGGCAGGTCTCTGGGGAGGGGAGAGGCTGGAGGGCCCCTCCCTTCCGTCTCCTGTCTCTGTCTCCGCATAGAAAGCTTGTTGTCATCTCCTCCCCCACCGCAGCAGCTGGCAGGGCCAAGGCTGCCTCTTCAGCCAGTACCTCTTTTTGAGTCACCTCTGGGGCTCCCAGAGCCTGCCCCGCCCCTGGGGCTGCTCTGGGGACTGGGGGCGGAGCCGGGCAGCCCCAGCCAGCAGGCAGCAGAGGCCCAGGGAGCAGGTGGGGGCTGGCCGCCCGTGGGCTACATGGCTCAGCCTCAGGGTCCGTCCAGAGCTCCAGGACCCGGCCGCCTCTCCTGATGCAGGCCAGAAATTCTGTCTGCTTGGGGTGTCCGGGCTGAGCTGCCCCATGCAGCGCCGGCTCCTCAGGATCCTGGCGGGAGCCCTCTTCAGCCTCATGTGCACAGGGCTCCTGTCCCTGCGGTACCATTCGAGTTTGTCCCTGCAGGGGGTGTGGGTGACCCCTGAGCCCAGCCCCGGGCCCCCTGAGCTGCAGATGCGTGACATTTTCATCGCGATCAAGACCACCCGAGCCTTCCACCGCTCACGCCTGGAGTTGCTGCTGGACACGTGGGTCTCCAGGACCAGGGAGCAGGTGAGGAGCCATGGCCACTGCCTGGGCCCATCCTTCCACTCCTCCGCCATGCCCAGCCTGTGCCCCCGGGGGTTCTGATGCCAGGTGCTCCGCAGGCCACCTGCTCTCTTCCAGGAGCCAAGCTGGGGGCTCCCTCTAGTCTACTCCTGCCCAGCTTGGCACCAATGGGTGGCACACCAGCTGACCAGGCCCACACATGGATGGGGCCGGCTGGCCAGGGTGGGTGTGAAGGGAGAGGGGCGTCCTGACAGCGCTGCCCCCTGCGGTGCCAGCGGGGCTGCCATCTCATCCCCCTTGTCAATTTCTGTGGGGCCGGAGGCCTGGCACATGGTGTGTGTGTGTGTGTGTGCCTGCAGTCAACGTCAGTGTGAGAGGCACTGTGACCGAGGCGTGTGGCTTAGGCTTTTCAAGGGGGGGCAGTTTGGATCAATCGAGTCCCCGCCAGCCCTCGCTCCCCACAACTGCTACCCTCCTTAAGTTCAAGTCAGCAGTGGAGGGTGTTGGGGGCCCCCTCAGAGGGTAAGGGGACTGGAGGAGCAGATTTAGGCACACACATGCTGTCCTGGCTCAGGGAGGAAGTGACAGCTTTCAGCGGGGGCTGGGAGCTCCTGGGACCAAGGAGGGAGGAGGTGATGCCTGGGCGTGGCCAGGGTCCCTTGTAGAAGGAGCATGCCCCAAACCCTGGAGGGATCCCTTCCCATGGGGCCTTTTCTTGGGGCTCCCCAGGGCTTCTTGGGGCCCCCAGGGTCTAGCTCCACCCTCAGAAGCCTCTGAACCTGGCCCTCCCCACAGACCTTCCTGTTTGTGTCTGTGGACCAGGAGGGCGGCCTCCTGTGGCCCAAGGTCCTTTCCTGTCTCGTCTTGTCCTGGCCCCGGATGAGGAAACTGAGGCCAGAGGGGAGAGTACGCTCACACAGAAGACCTGGGTGGGCCCAGCTCCATAGTCCTTCTCCAGAGTAACCAGGCTGACCGAGTATCGGGAGGGTCCTTGGGCCCCCAGGCTGGGCAGCTGGGCAGGCAGGGCTAGCCTGCAGGGGAGAGGCAAGCCCCAGCCCTGCTCAAGACCCCGGATGGAGACACCCTCTGCCCATCTCCCCCTGTCCAACTGGCAAGGTGTGTGAAGTAGGGTCTGGGTTGTGGCCAGGACTCCCTCCCAGTCCCCCATGCCCTGTGCCATCCAGATGCCACCAGTGAGCCAGGGGTGGCCGCTGCTCAGCATCTGGTTGGCAGGTACTATTGAGTCAGTTCCAGCTCCTAGCGACCCGATACGACAGGGTAGAACTGCCCAGGGGGATAACTAAACTGACATTTCCACAGGGAACAGAGAGCCAGACGTGCTCCCATGCAACCGCCAGTGAGTTAGAACTGCCAGGGCCGAGCATGTAACCATTGCGCCCAAGTTTCCCACTAGGGGGCTGCAAGCCAGATGCTTCATTCCATGTCACCCCCACCCCGCCCACCCCCACCAACAATCCCAATGGGTCTGGGAGGACAGGGATATTGATAATCCCACTTTACAGAAGAGAAACCCCAGGCTTGGCAAGGGTAAACAGAAGGTAAATCCAGCCAGTCAGCTCCAGTACCAGGGCGGGCCCCAGAAACCTGGTCCTTTCAGGCGCAGGAGGGGGCTCCAGAAAATTCATGGGAAATGGGATGAGAAGCTAGCGGGCTGTTTCCTTGAACATTCTGGAGCCCCTGGTATTTGGGAGAAGAGAGGGTGCTCAGATGGAAGAAGAGGGAGGAGAGGCAGAACACCCATGCTCACCCCCACCCCAATTTTGGCCCCCTTTTCTCTCCTGTGACTGGGGTCAGGCCCCTGTTCCCCCATCTGCACACACACAGAGGGTCCTGGCCTCCCTCCGGGCTGCCATCCGGAGCTGGCCTGAGCTGGTTAACTCCCACGCTGGTGCCCGCCCCCTTGGTTAAGGGCAGCAGGGGCAGGTGGGCTTTTGTGGCAGCCGGCTGGGGGGCTCGTGTGCAGCTTTTGTCCCAGCTTTTGTCCCCAGCCAAGGGGGTGGGCTGGGAGGCGTGTTTTCTGCTCCTCAGGAGGGGGGAGTGAGCAGTGGCCCCGCAGTTCCCCTTCTCTGCAGCAGATGGTCCTGCCTCCCCCCTCTCCCCCACTTCAGCAGGCTGCCTCCCCCTTATTTTCCCCACTGCCTGCAGAGAGTTTAACCATTGTGGATTAAGCTTCCTTCAACACAAAACAAATGCAGCCCTGGAGTGGGGGTGGGGTGGGGACTCAGGGGCCCCAGTCCTGCACCTTCCTCAGCCACCCGGGGATGGAAACCCTGGCCCACTTCCCTCATCCTGGCATCTTGACACCTGATGACCCCCACACCACCCCCACGTCATTGTCCTACCTACTAGTTTTTCGTGGGCAAGCAACCGCTGGCCCAGGCTCCAAACTGGACACTGGCGCCACTGCCTGGCGACCGAGATTCCCAGGGAGCTGGCAAGAAAGCCTGGCCTGCTTCCCAGGAGGTAGAGACTAGGTCTGGGGGCAGGACCGATGTATGGAGGTGACAGTCCGTCTCAGGTGGTCATGGAAGTGGTGAGTAGAGGGGCTTTCTGGACCACCTGACAGCGGTGACAGGATTTGCTGAGGTGGTGGTGCGGGCTGAGAGACTGGGGCACGGGGGAGGAGGGTACATAGGGGAGGTGATGACAAGGGTGTGGGGGCGGGGAAGCTGCCACCTGCTGAATGGGGAAGACCAACGCGGAGGGACCTGGGCAGGGGCCCACAGGGTGGGATGTGAGAGCCTGGGGGCTAGGGCTGAAGCCTAGGGTGTCGATGTGGGCATCTCGACAGGGTGCTCAAATCTGGGAGACGGGTGGCGTTGCTGAGGGAGGTGGAAAAGAAGGCAACCCGGGTGTCAGACCCGAGGGGCGGGGGCCCAGAGGGTGAGTCCCTGCAGGGTGCCAGGTGTCAGACGGGAGGCAACTCACACCAAGCCTGTGTCCTCCAGGCTGTCACCGGCTGGTGGACAGGCCAAGAGATAAGTGTCCGTATCTGAGTGGCTGCTGTCCCCAGGTGGGACAGGACAGCCTCGGGAGAACCCGGCCCGGAAGGCGTCCTAGCGGAGGTGCTGTCTGAGAAGGTGGGAGAGAGGGTCTGAGGAAGACGAGTCATCGTGAGCAAAGGCAGGGGTGAGGAGGGGCAAGACACACTTGAGGGAAACCCAAAGAACTTCAGGCTAAGAGCAGGCTCTAGGGGGTGGCAGCAGGGACCACCGAGATGATTCACAGAGATTCATCAAGACCCCGCAGGACAGGGATGTGCTGCCCTTGTGAGTTTCTGAGACGGTAATTCTCTACAGGCGTAGGAAACTCCGTCTGTCTCCCCCAGAGAGCCTGGTGGTTCTGAACCACCGACCTAGCGGTTAGTGTGTACAGTGAACCCTCATTTATCGCGGTTAATCGGTTCTAGACCCTACTGTGATAAATGAAATTCCGCGAAGTAGGATTCCTTATTTGTAAATCAAATATTTTCGTAGTTAGAGCATAGAGGACATGAAAAAACACCCTTTAGTCACCATTACACTCGTATTACCCAATTTATTAAACGAAAAAGGGAAAATGCAGTAAAACATTTTGGACGTTACAATTATCATTTATTATTTATTATATTATGAAGTACAACGGATGGAGCGAACGGAAGACTCATTCAAGTCGAAATGGCGTGCAACCTCCACGATTTTCTTGCCATCTTTGATCATATCCAAAAGTTTTACCTTTTCCTGGATGGTGAGCATCTTCCTCTGGCGCTTATTTTTATTGTCAGAAGGCTTAGAAGAAGCAGCTCGTTTAGGAGCCATCATAGGGCTTAGATAAAATTTCTTAAAAATCGCAAACAATTATAGTACACTGTACAAAAGCAAAAATGCATCTGATACATAGCTCCGATACGTAGCGATGCAGACAGAAGCGTGTACAGTATGAGCCAATCAGTGGCAGTAATGACAGAGCATGCACTGTTACGCAAAAACCGCGATAGAGTGAAGCCGCGGAAGTCAAAGCGCGAAGTGGCGAGGGTTCACTGTATACTCTAGCGTAAGCTGTGCATGTGAATTGTGGTTGAAACACCACGGACTGCTAGAAGGACACACTGACCTCTCCTGGAAGTCGTACGGCCGGAGTGCTCTTTGGAGGCAAGGATGGCGAGCTGCGACCAGTCCCTGGAGAAGGACACCTTGCTTGGGAAAGTGAGGGGGGCAGTGGAAGACAGGAAGGCCCTCAAGGAGCTGGACGGCGAAGGGGCTGCAACGATGGGCTCCAGCAGAGGAACCTGATGGCGCGTTGTTCTGTTGTGCGTAAGGTCTCAATGGATGGGAATGCCTCCATGGCACCTGCCAACAACAACAGCAACAACAACAACAGAGTAAGCAGGAGGGTGGTGGGTGCAGGTGCGGCGTGACTTTGGACCTGACAGGAAAACAGGCCTGAGGGAATCAGGCAAGTCTTGTAATCAGAGCGAGTATCGCCAGGCTGAGAACTAGGCCCCTTGGCCATGTTCTCCCTTCCTTTCCTGTGTTCTTTCATTGTTGAGAACAGACGCCAACTCAGCAGTGTCTCCGTGTGCCATCAGGACAGCCTTCAAGCTGGGCAGCTGCCCTCAGCCTCCTCTTCCTAAATCTTCCTCCCCGCTACCGTTTCGGTTGGTGCGTCAGTTGTCAGCTGACCCCGCCCAGACAGTCCTTCCAAAGAGCAGCCCTTGTTCACTCATCAAGCTCAGCGGTGGCTTGGTTCAAAGGAGACTTCTGGGATTTGTTTGGGGTAAAGTTTGGTGGTTTTCCCAAGAGCAGTTGTTTCCGGGGTTCACCCAGCCTCGGGGACTCCAGAAAGCCTGGACTCCATGAGAATTTCAAATTCCATGCTTCATTTCCCTCCTCTGGATCAGATTTTCCTGCAGGTTCTTTCCTCCACAGCGCCGGGCACCCTCCAGTTCCCGTCTCATGGCAAAGGAGGCCCTTGTTCATGGAGATCGTTAGCCACGTTCACGATCCATTTCATCCCAGTCCTGACTCTCCCGCCTCTGCTGCTGCTCCAGGTGGGACCAATTGGCGGACCTTGAATGGCTGCCCATGAGCTTCTAAGACCTCAGGCTGTGCTGCGCATGGAACCAGGAGGTAGAACCCAAACTCCAAACCCAGCCAATCGGCCAGCAAGTCGATGAAGACTCACAGCGACTCGACAAGAGCCCATCTGCCCTGTGGGTCTCCGAGACGGCATTCTTTACAGGGGTCAAAGGCCTTGCTTTTCTTCCTGGGAACAGCTGGTGGTTTCCAATTGCCCACTTTGTGGTTAGCAGCCCACCACATAACGAGAGTAGGACTGTCCGTTGGGATGTACCATGAAACCATGATCTTAAAGAACCCAGCCCCTTCGGAGGTGTTTGGTTGGACATCAACTTACCGTGACTTTTTAATTTTATTAAAAGATCATTGTAGTGGGGGCTCTTACAGCTCTTAGAACAGTGCATACATCCATCGTATCAAGCACAGTGGTACCTATGTTGCCATCTTCGTTTCCTAAACATTTACTTTCTATTTGAGCCCTTGGTATCAGCTCCTCTTTTCCCCCTCACCCCCACCCTCGTGACCCCTTGATCAATGATAAATTATTATTCTTTTCATATCTTACCTACCTCTGTCTCCCTTCACCCAAGGCTTCTGTTGTTCATCTGTGTGTGTGTGTGTGTGTGT